CTATATTTTCCCCTTTGGTCATTTTATCCAGTCCCATGTAACAGCTGTCTCTAGTGTTGATTCACAATGTATGAAAATTTTGATATTAGAATATTATATATAATGCTTTATGGGCACTTTTAATAAGCATCTCAACTCTCTAAACAAGGGCCTCTCTTCATTAGTTTTTAGTTCCTTTCCATCTTTTTCAGTGTGTTTCAAACACGCAAACATCATTGCTTAAATAGCTGTGTGTGTGTGTGTGTGTGTGTGTGTGTGTGTGTGTGTGAGAGAGAGAGAGAGAGAGAGAGAGAGAGACTGACTGGGAAACCCAGAACTTATTTTGTATTTTGAGAGTCTTGCTTAGTTACTAAGTTGCCCAGATCCCCAAGCTGGGCTCAAATTTCTGAACCTTCTGCCTCAGTCTCCTAGAGTGCTGGGATTACAGACTTGCATCACTACACTAGCAAAGGAGATAAATGTTTTTAAAGTCATGCATAGTCACATGGCTTTTCTTTTATTGAATCATTGGAAGAATTGTGTAGGCAAGTTGCATGTGCATAAACTGTATTGCTATGATGATTACTTGTACTCATTAGTTTTAGATTTTTAAAAACACATTATGTAAAAGAAAATTGAAATAACACTGATAGCATCTGCAGGAAAATAAACCAACACACAGTGTGCTTAGAGAAAGAAATATGTTATATGCATCTTCTGATAATGCTTTTAGCTTATGCTGTGTTAACAATTATGTTAAGTGAGTGGGTTGTCACAATAATGAGATGCTGCCCTTTAATATCTGCAAAGTTTTATTTGCCTGATTTAATGCGCATTTTATACAAGCCCAAGAATTAACTTCAGCCTCATTTTAGAGTAAGTATTGAAGTTTGAAAGAGTTGATATTAAAAACTTGTAAACTTGCTAAGAAAATTTAACTATGTCAGTTCTGTGTAATTTATACTAAGTTTTTAACTTTTGTATAGGAGTCATACAACATTGTCTGAAAATTTATTACGTGTGTGTGTTTTAGACATTGAGGGAAAATTGAAAATTTTGTTTTATGTGTATTTACATAATCCTTTCAGATATAACCATTTTAAAATGTTATTCTTAATTCATTGGCCTTAAAATTTTTTTAAAGCCTAACTACATCTGTTCTGTGAATTACTGGTTGCAGACCCCAAGTTTAAAGGTAAAAAATTTTAAATCATAACTCTTTGATCTTTTTACTTTCAATTCATTTTACTTTTTCACAAAAGTAGTGATCTAAATAAATTTTTCATTGTCAGGAACATGAGTTATTTATTAAACAATACAGATAAAAATTCTTGACTTTTCTATTTAGGACATAAAAAAATTAAATGATCACTGTAACTAATGACCTATGTATCTTACCTGGGTTGGAATTTAATACCGTATAGATGTAGATTTGCTACATGTTATTAACCAAATTGAGCTATAAAGTGTTAACTATTCCAGAAGGACAAATGGAAAAGAACATGAAAAAAAGGAAAACATTTATACTACTATAACTAGGTAGACATGTAAACTCTACAGTAATCACTGTAAGTTATCTAAATGCCACCAAATCCTGACGCTATAGACAGTCAGGACCAGCTTATAGGCCAGTGTATCCTTTGAAAGCATACTACACTGAATTGTTTACACACAGCATAGCCTTTAATTCCACATCAAACTTGCGGACTAGAGTAACAAATTCTGCCAGCTTTAGCAAATGGAACTTCACACTAGGCACTGAGCTCAAGGCAGTTTTTGAGCTGTTCTGTCACCATCACTAACAGTTATTGTACATGAACACTTCACACTTACTTCTAAGTTTCTTCACATATCCAGTCAAAAGTTGAAGTAAGCATGGAAAACACTGTGAGTACACAACTAAAGTAGAATTTAGAATAAAATCATATACCAAGAAATTAATACACACAAATCTAACATGGGATATAAAGTTAGAGCAAAATGATAGTTTTGAGACTCTTATTCCATAGTAGGCAACCTCATTATAACCAGGAGTTAGGTTAGGTGGAAATCAGGGCAATAAATGATGATGTGAGCCAGTCTTCTAGGACATGTGCTTAAATTTTAGTAATGTATTCAGTGAGTGTGTCTTTGAAAAAGAATATAAAACTGCATTTAAAAACTAATATTATGTATATATTAGTATAGCATATTGGAAACTCTAAATATAAAAATTAAGCGTGTTTACCATATTGAGTTCTCTCCCATTGCCTATCAAAAAATTAATGTTTAGAATTTCTGTCTTTACATATTTAAGGCAATTTATGATTGAGTTTTAAAGACTTCTTCAAAAAGATGATTTTTATATATTTTAACATAATAGAGTACTGCTCAGTTTTCATACAGGTGTGTAGCTGCTACTAACTGGTTGCTTTTTCATTGTTCATTCTAACATGTTTTGTCTGAATATGAACTGATCGTATATTCTTGATATCATCCAAAACATAGAGGGGAATAATCAGGCATAATTTACGGGAACTGCCTTTTTGAGAACTTTTTTATCTTTTCAGTTTGTTCATTGGCTTATGTATCTTCTGAGATGTTTTCCCATGAAAAGCTTAGAAGTCTCTTAAGAAATAGGTACTGGAAGTCTGCTGGAATAGTTTGATAGTTCAACTGGGATATTTCTGGACTTGAAATTACTGTTGAATAACTATAGATCTACACCTAAAAACTTCAGTCTTATCATCAATTTATAAGATACAGACCTGTAGTTACCAGATATTTCCACAAGATGGACCTCTTGGTGTGTAGGTGTTTTTTTTGTGTTTTATTTTTCCAGTTTGATTTGCCAAAAAATTATTCAGGGGATAAAATTTCAAAAGTTCCTTTAAAATTTCTAAATGTATTTTTCACAAAATCATATGATACACCATTCTTCCGTTATATATTAACTTAAAATTTGATGGCTATTTCTGGGAGAAATTTAATTTCCTTTTACACATACCATCTATAAAAATCTTTTAAACTCCTTAAAAGCAGAATGATTTCATTATTTAAGTACTGCCACTTTAACAATGTTTTCTGAAAATAGAATCAAATGAGTTATAAAGTCAATACGTAAAAATCTCATTACTATTATCAGTAATGAATTCTGGTAATTTATAAATTGTTTGTTTTATTGAACAAGAAACCAAAAGTAGCCTTTTCTAGACTTTAGATTTTTATATATAAATGTTCTCAAACATATACAACATGTGGAAATTTTATATATGCATATATCTCACCATTAAAATATGGTTTATGAATTTCCTTTTCTTCCGTCTGACATGAAATAAACTTGAAAAGTGATATACTTCTTTAATGCAGAATTAAGTATACTTAAATACAAAGTAAATAATACTTCATTAGTATGTATCCTTTAACCCTGATAATACCTAATAAAAATTTGAACTGTGGATGTATGCTTTAGAATAATAGTTTATGTATGATTGCCAAACATTTTTACTAAAGTGAAAAGATGTCTAATAGGATATCTTAGAACCGTGGAGCCTAATGCAACATAAACTCTCCTTTTTGTATCCTGTGGTTTACCTTAATTTTAAATTTTAGTATCTGTTAGATATGAGACTTGGGCAAAACATTAAACATAGGTTCTGTCTATAAGTCAGAACCATAGGCTAGTTGTAACCATAGGCCAGTTGTTATCTGTAACCATAGGCCAGTTGTTTTCTAAGCAGTGCTGATCTTTTATCCTTTAAAGGCTAGGGCGGCTTCTAGGATAGTAGCACTTTTTTCCTCCTCATTTTGTAGTAAATCTATAGATATTACTATGTGAGGGATATTGAAATTTTAGTTACATATAATTTGGTTTAGAATTTATATTTTAAACTGAGCGTAATATAAAATGAAACTAATATATAGCTTAAAGTAACAAAAGTGTTTTGCTAGTTGATTAACCAGAAATAATGGCTTGTAAAGAAAGTACTTACAAAATTAACTATCTCCTAGTTAGAAAGGATTTAAGTATTTCATTTCACATACAAAGAAATTGGGGCTCAGAAAAGTTAGTTCTTCGCTTAAGCTTATACAGCAAGAAAGAAGCAGAGCTGGAATTTTGGTATTGTAGCAGTAATAGTATGTTTGCTGGTACCTTAGATTGCTGACAGATTTTTTAGACAAAGTGCTACCATAAGTGTTGAGCAGTTTTTGTGGCATATCATCCATAAGCAGCCTTAAGCTGAAAAGAAAGATAATGGAAAGCAATGAGGTAGCATTTGTGGTTAAAAAAATTCATAGAGGACAGTTGCTGCAGCTCTGTCTAGCAACCCTATCAGTAGCTGAATACCTAGAGTGTGCTAGGCTCTGTACTAGCACGTCAGCTACTTTACCTCAGAAGCAGTGTTTGCGAGATGATGGTATGGAGAAAACAGGTGCTTTGCTGAGGAGTGCAGAGCTTGGATTGCAGCACAGGCTCTGTAAGCTCCTGTAGTCACACTCAAGCCACTGTTTGTCGCTTCACCAGTGTACCAGGAGGGCCGGAGGGAAGGCTTATCTGTAAGGGCACTTACTCCACAGGGGAAAAAAAAAAGCCAGGTAATGTGTACTGATATTTAGTTTGCCTCTACTTTTATGCCAAGATTAATTTTCACCTTTGTGCTAGGGTAAATTCCTTACTATAGTCTTCTCTATCTAAACCTTTGTCTTTTATAACAGGTTTTTTTAAAATAATGCTCCCTAATTTGGACCTAAAAATATTCTCAGGGCAATGAAATTCTACCATAATTATCATTTTGGTAGAATTTTTCGATGTTATTGCTTGCTTCTAGTCTTCAGTACTCATCAGTACCTAAATTTAAGTTGGAAAAGATGCTCATTTTCCAAGGCACAAACCACATTTTGTGACGAATTCACAAAATCACACACATAAAACATTGGCATTCTCATTTGAGTGTTTGGGCTCAGAGGTACTCAGAATTGACTTTCATAGCTCACAAAGAGCTCACTTGTCCCAGCCCCAAGAAAATGTGAAGCCTGAGTTCATTTCCTGCAATAAGTAGTCATTTAATTAAAGAACAAAATTAACAGGAATCAAAATGTTGGAGCTGTACTTTTGTTAGACATTATATAAAAAACAAAAAGTATAATACAGTAAATCATTTTATATAACATGAACTAAAAAGTGTTTTCAAACTAATGATCAGAATAAAAATGTCTTTTCAACAAAATACTGAATGACACTGCGACACTGCGTCACTTGTCCCTCCTGTCAGAGGCTGGGAGTGGTGAGCCTGCACATGCACTTTGCCTCCTCCATGACACTGCAGAACTGTAAAACAAGATTGAAAGGCAAACAACAGTTTTCTTCTGGTAGAGTTGCTCTGGGCCTTAGCTGGCCCCAGTGGTTCACACCCCTCAGACATCAGCGAAGGAGTGTGTCCTCTGGTTGCTCCTCCTGTAGGTAAGTGTGGCCAGGGTGCACCTGAGTGTGTGACTCTGCTCTTCTCACACAGCAGGTAGTCTTGAGCTGAGCTCCAGGAAAGTTCCCTGATGAATGTTCAGAGTTGGTATCAAAAATTAAACACAAATTCTTCTCAGAAGAAAATCTCTATGGCCTGTGGAATCTAGAAATTTTTAAAAAGACAAAGAATTTATACATTTTTAGCAGTTAAAAGCCTTCCACAAACAAATCTGCTGGAAGTATCTCAGAAATTTAAAATGTAAAAATGTAGAGCTGCTTTGGTTAAAGTACCTAAGTAGAGCCTCCCAGGGCTGCTGACTCCCCAGCCCCTGTTGTACCCCAGAACATATATGCTGAATTCTTAGTACTGCCTAGAACTGAGTTTGAAGTTACAAGGGAAGAACACAGATGGGCTTGCTCTTTGGTGAACTGATAAAAATAATGAATCAGTTGATAAATTATTGGGAATTATAGAAGTCATGAGAATATTTTTATAAGTGGTATATTTATAATATTTAAGATAATCAAACTAATGACTAAAAATATGACTTAAAATTGATATGAAGTGCTAAAATGTATAAGAATAGAGAATTCTCTCCTAATTTTCAGATTTAGGGCTCTTAAATTTTACCACTGAAGAAGTGATCAAGAACTTACAAAATACCTTAATATATATTTTAGTAGTGTATAGTAGAGTCACATACCTACCTGGCTTTTGTTCCATAGCCACATGGAGCTTTACAAAACAATTTTTGGGGTGTTAATTGGAATCGAATTCCTACCTTTGAGCTATATTTCCAACTCTTTGAGACATGGTCTCACTAGGTTGCCCAAGTTAGCCTCAAACTTGTCAGTCCTCCTGCCTCAGCCTCCTGATTTAAATAACAATTACAGTGGCCACTTGATGACAAAACATCCATTAATTTTAAATAAGTGTATGTATACAAACCTTTTCTCTTTGTATTTGTGGCTTGAGCATTTTTAGACAAAGGGAGAGAGGACAAAACTATTGTTACAGTTGAAAACTTGTTAGGGCCTAGTCATCCCCATTAGGGCTAAAGGCATATGAGAATTTAAGATAATTACTGCTAGTCATGGCCATGGAAAAAGAGACACTGCATGTATGCTGCAGTGAACTTCACCACCGAAGGTTCAGTGTCATCCTTGGCATATGCAGTAGTGTGAACAGAGAATATATTCATCCTGATAGAAAAAATTTTGATTATAGAAGAAATAGAAAATATGTTCCTAGTAGATTAAGCTCCATATAGATAGGAGTCTCCCCTTTATCAATCCTGCATCATACTCACAGACTTATTTTCAGTGCCTGAACAATGGTGGGTACTCAGTACTTGCGGAGGAAATGCTCTTTTAGCTTTAGGGAAACTAATGTGCATTAAAGATGCTGATATAAAATTAAGATACAAAATAAATGGAAAAGTAAAGCGTTATTTCATAACAGTCAAGTTGGCAAATTCAAATTGAATTTCTGGAAAAGGGAATTTCTTAAATACAAAGTGAAACCAGCAGCCTATATGTATTCTTCTCCATATCCCCTTTTACTAAGCTCTATAAAATTCCATAGGAACAGACAGCAGTGAAGTACTTTCTGTTAACCACATTCTCTATAGAAGTGCCACATTTGTCTAGCTGAATATAAGGTTCTTGGGGTTGTGTGTTAACTTGTGTGAGGTATCATGATAGAAGAACCAATCTTACCTCGTCAAATGCTTGCTTGATGCATGTACTTCCATTTCATTACTTTTGTACTCGTTTAATTCTTTACGAATTGCTGCCTAAAATTAAAAACAGGACATTGAAAAGTTAACAGAGGAAATGAGTTTTCATATTTATAGATTAGCAGTCATTTTAATAATTGCTGCCTCTATTATTTTGTAATATGTAGGAAAAAATGGAGGGTCTTTTTCTCACTAGATATGAGCAACACCCGTGTTGTAACAAATAAAACTATCTCCAGACAGTGCCATACCTCTCCAAGGACAAAACTGCTCTCTGTTGGAGAACTATGTATTAACTCTGACCCTGAGTTATCTTTGTGAAACCCATATCTAGTCAAAGTATAACCTTAGTGTAAAAAGCTAATGGCTCCATCATATAAGCATAAATTCCCGGCAGGATGCGTGTTGCCCATATTCCAGGACCAAGGCCCCGACCAGCACACGCAGTTCTTACCTTATCTGCTGCTGACAGTCGTGTCCAGGGTTTGTCTGCCCTCCTGTCATAATCCTGCGCTTTTGCTACTTCCACATAATCACTGAAACGTATCAGAATTTTTCTGTCTCTTAATTCATCAACAGTGGGTCTCTGATTAAGCTAAAATAAAAGTCATTATAGTTAGGTATCACATAAGCACCCTGTAATGTGCAGGGCTTAAATTATGTTTTCTTAAATCACAATCCCCTTCTCTAACACCTTTTATCAGCATCCTCTAAATATTATATTTTACAGGACCAAGGAATGGCTGATGAACTAAGTTGAATTTTATAGCAAGAATAGCTTCTTTTCAAGTTCCATTAAATACTTTTTGAAAAAATTTTTGATAATTTTGTAGTACTAACTACCACTAGTACAACACCAAACTCACTGCAGGGGAGAAAGGGAAATAGCAGAATACATGAATTTAGAAATAGGATTTTAAAAGTTCCTGCCAATGCACAGATTTTAACTCTGAGTCACACAGATTGTCCCTTGGTACTAATAAAAGTGTGCTGCAGTGAAGGAGCTCTTAGACACATTGAAGGTGACCAAAGACAATGAGTCTAAAAGGTAAAATTCAAGCACTGCCAAGCCAGGTATGTTTTTATTAGACACTGTACAAGTTATGAAAATACACATTCAGCTTGTGCCTCCACCAGGAAATATGAGGAAAGGTCTCAGGCCTCTACCGCCTTTCCCCGCCGCTACTGTGCTAGGAAAGGACTTCACAGGGAATGTCGGCCGGTGACACTGGGAGGTGCCAGGAGCAGTGCTGTCTGAGGAGCTTTGGTGAGCTAGCCATTGTTGATCTCCCTGAGTCCACGCTAGGAAATAGGTCACAATCCCAGACGGTGCTGGCTTAGATTACCCACTCCACTTGCTACAGAAGCACACTTTTTTTCTCTAGTCTACTTTTTACAATTCAGGAAATATAATACCTTTCTTGTTAATCTTTGCTTGATTTCTCTTCTTTCTTCCTGTTCTGTCTGATCATTCCTTTCTGTGAAGGGTTAAAATAGAAAAAAAAAGTAAGTTGAGATGTTCTTCCCTTTAGCCAAGAAGTGTATTCAAGATCACCCGGAGGCTGCAGATAGGATAGTAAGGCCAGCTCATAAATCACAACCTGTTGCCTCCATTTTGCTAATCACTGCTCTGGAGGTCACAGTGGGGGTACACGGGATCATCCTGGCCTGCTTCTCCTTGTCTCTACAGCAGAAACAGCTGCAGATCATATTGCTGCTTTTCTCCAGGAATCATTGTCTGTCTCTATCCCACCCAAGGGTCCATTTGTATACTTACATTGAGGAACACAGATGGTATACAAAATAATAGAATAATTAATTATATACATTTGAATATAAATAGCAATGTCATTGCTTGTTTCCTGGTTATGTCTTTCTATTTAATACTGTGTATACTGTTTAGGTAGCCAACAGAAGATCTGGGATACCCTCCTTCAGATCCTGGACAGCATGTGCTTGTCTGGAATGTGTGTCGCCAGGGTGCATGTCACACACACATAAACATACCTGCAGACCAGCTGACTCCTTTATTGAGCCAGGGACACTTTTACATGAGAGAATCTTTGAAAGAAGCACAAGCTTTTCACTGACATGGGCTTGGCTTGGTGAGTTTGACTATTAACAGCCAAGCTGTGCTCACACTTAACACTGGGAAGCTAAAGATAGACCAAACGCTGAGCCATAGTATACCGTGTATGCCTTGTCCTGAGGTGCAAGACATGGGCTGTCCTATTTCTGGCATCCTGTGTTGCTAAACAAAGCCTCCTGTCTGCGACCTGAACAGAACTCCATTCCCAGGGCAAAGATCTCATGGTCACCACTCCTAGAAACACCACCAGGTTTGGGAAAGGGAAATCCTACTATTCGGCGTTAATATAATTTCACACCATCTGATTTTAGAAAAAAGCAAGATACAGCTCAGTCATACATTTAGGGGATTGAATATATATGGGCATTTATTTGTCAGTAATTGTACTTAATGATTCTCTTTAAAGAGTAGCCTTCTTGGATTAAAGCATTTCAGAAAAGAAAACCCTACTATGTGCTTAGTTTTCTAGACACAGGAAAAGCCAAAGAAAATGTACTTGTAAGCTATAATAAAGTGGATGATATACACGAGAAAAAATCCAAAACTGTCATACATAAGGCTATGAAAGACTAAATGACACGAAAGTAATTCTTCAAATTTCTTATAAATAGTTCACAGAGGAATCCCAAGTACAAGCTCTATGTGGAAGTAAGAAAGCGACATCAGAACCATTTTTGTGTGTGTAAAAATATCGTCATGATTACTAAGGTCACACAAATGCTGCAGCGTTTTGGTGAGCTCTCTTTGAAAGTGCCTGTGAGTGCTTGTTTGAAGAGCTCTGTCAGACACCTGCTCTGTTATTCCTGTCAGCTTACGCCCACTTGGTGGTGATTGTATACGTCTTACTCCCAGGCCACAGAACCTTATACAAGACAAGAGATCCATTATTAGGACTTCTCTACCCCCATTTTTGGGAAATATCTCCAGTAGCTTGGACAATTATGCACGAGTCTTCCACAGATACTCAAAAATGTATTATTGCATCTGCTATCATGGTTAAGAATACAAATTGTGCAGTCAGGTAAACCTGGAGTTCAACTCTAACTCTATCCTTTTGCCAGTATTCATTTGTCAAAATTATTTGTGTTGTCATCATACAGAACAACCCAGGGTAGTTTCATTTATGAAAACACAGCAGACTTCTGAGTGTATCTCAGAACGACAGTTGGCCATGAATTCTTAGCTTGAAGGGAAGAAAATACAGAGTGATCATAGTCAAGGATTTTCTTACGTGAGCAAGAAGCAGTGCAGTGTGAGTCAGTCCCCGTGTGCCAGCCTGTAAGAGTAAGATTCTGTACTGGGCCATACGGGGTTACTCTAGTATCTACACAGAAAGCAACCAAACAGAACACCTAACACGGACCTAGTAGCAAAAGTTTCAGGTCCTCCCACTCTGGACATGGGAAGGCTTTAGAGTGAAGGACAAGTCTGCTTAGCTGGTGAAGGGACAGTGTTCACAGAGGGCTGCCATGGCCACTGCAAGACAGTCCACTTCCCATTTGTGCCCTGAAGGTGTGTGAGCACAGCTCCAGTTAAGCACTTTCAGCACAGTTGCATTTTCAAGGCTTCAAAATTAACTTTTAAGGAATAATAAATTAGGGGCACTTATAAGTAAGAGGATCTGGCTGCCCACAAGAAAAGGGAAGAGGCTACTCAACAATGTTTCCAGGTTAACAGCCCAGGCAGCGGCAGTCTCTTCCTGTTGTGGGCAGTGGACGGTGGGACTTGCAAGGCTTGAACGCGCCTTCAGCTCTACCACACCAATTTTAATGGCACCTGTGACTTAGAAGCTGTATAATTAAGAGGCTTACTTTTTTTTAAATCCAAATATTCAAAAAGTACTGAAATCATTTTTCTAGTCTGCCTACATTGATAAGCATGCTAGCAATAACACCTTTGAATCCTCAGGCTACAGCTTAGTCAACAGGATAATAGCCACTGTATCTTAAGTTTAAAAATTTTAATTTTTAGTCTGATGGGTACTTTCACTACTCTGTAAAGGAGGAAATTGTTTGGGGGAGTTGGGGCACTGAGGCAAACAGAGAGGAATCAAGTAGAGCACAGTGCCCACTCCTTGTTAACTTTGTAAAACAATGTTCACAGAACTAATTTGGAGAATGTCTGCATTTTTCACAAAAAAATAAAAACTAAAATCATATATGATTGGCCACTAGAAGGCACTGTCCAGAATCTACAATAGATATTGTGAAAGGGAAACTACTCAAGGAAAAGGAAAAAATAGTAGGGATGGATGAAAGGAGAAAAGGATATATTTCTTTCAGTTCATTAAAGTGTGCTTATATTGTTTGATCAATTATGCATGCCTGTATTTTGTAATCCAGGCTACTCTGAAGATAAGAATACACAGCATATCAACCATTGTTAATCTATTATGTTTTGAAATTCTGTATCTATTGATTTTTTCTGTTTAAAATAAAAAAAAACAATTATCAATGACTGTAATGTAATAAAGCCCTACACAGCAAGGTTATATTCGTAGACATATATAATTATATACCTCCTGGGAAACTCAAAGCCAGAAGGGCAGAGGGTCTTCGAATTCCAGAGTCACAAGCCAAGGATAATTTCCTCTGATTTCTCTGCACTTCTAAGCAGAGCATCTTTTCCTCCTAGCTGTGACAGCCAAGGGGCATGTCCTGCACTAGTAGGTTGGGTGACCTAGCCTCTGATTTCCACAGCCATTAGGACCCCCATCCAAAACTGCCAGGAAAACTTGCCTGACACCCGACTTGCATAAAAAGGGTATGGCGCCATTTCATCTCCCTTAGAGAGACATGACTGCCTAACCCGGAAAACAAGTTCCTCCTTAATTCTAGCGAGTGAGCTTTTCTCATTTTAAGGGATACTGTCTGCCCACATCAACTTTTAGAGGCTTGCTCTCCGAAATTCTTATCTACTCCGATTTAAGAAGCACTCAGCCTGCGGAGCTGGGCTGGGTTGGAGAAGCTGTCTGACAGCCTCAGCAGCTCAGCAAGCGCGCGCTAGGGAAGCCTCTGGAGGAACCCCCGCCACTCACGTTTCAGGATGTTCCTTCTCTCCAGCTCTTCCACAGCGGGTCGTTGGCTCAGCCTTCTGCGGAAAAACACCAGAATTATATTTTGCACCATGGTGGGTGCTTGCAGATTCCATCCAGAGACTAAAGGTGAGAGGTGGCTGGCACACCCCTAAAGATGATCGCCTCAAAAGGAGGAAAGGGAACCTTTGGTGCCTCTTCCTGGCAAGATCAAGTCAGCCTCCCACGTGGGAGGGAGGCTGCCTTGTCACGAAGCTGCTGTGGAAGTCCTTGCTCCAGCACCGAGCTTGCAGGTCTTCATATTCCAGATCCGTTAGCCACACTGCCCTGCTCTGTCACCCAGGCGGTGTGTTTAAGCAGCGCGGGGATCCACTCAAAATTCTTTTTCCTGGCCACTGGCTCAGGGAGGGGCAGGCAGCACCACCTGGCTTTAGGCTCCTGGTAACAGATGCCTGGAGAGCAGATGCCTGCCCCTCCCCTGGCTGCCTCTGGTCCCTAGCGCTGGAGACACGGGGAGATCCCGCCCTCGCTCGCTGAGTGCCGCCTCCCTCGTTTGTTCGCTCAGCCAACACAAGGGGCGTGTCCAAGGCGTCAGGCCTCCCGCGCTTGTCAGTGAGCTCACTCTTAAGGAGCTGCCTGCCTAGTAGAAGCCAGGATTCTCCTCCAACTTGGCACAGCTAGGGGAGCCGAGCCCATTTCCCCGTCCCCTGCCGCCACCCAGGCCCTGGTGTGCAATGTGAAGGCAGGATCACTTTTTTCCCAGATGGTCTCCTGCTGGGGGAATTAGGGCACAGTCCCCCACCCCAACCCCAAAACAGATCTGTCAGCAGAGGGAAGCATAATTAGCTAAGATTAACGCCAGGCTCCACTTATTTTTGCAGCTAAGATAATGTCCTTGGGTTAGAGCCAGAAACCTTCCCACTTCCGGATCTTTTAGCCTCTGCAGGGATTCAACAGGGTTGTTATTTGAATACCCAGACTTGGGGGCTAGCGCATTTGGCCCCCGTGGGACTGTTGCTTGTCTCCTATTTGCAGCCCCTGTCCCAGAACAAAGCTGCTGCTCCTCCCTCCACACTTGAACACAATAGCTGCTGCGTGGCTCTGGGAGCTGCTGTGTGTCTTCTAGCTCTCAGGGTGGTTGCTTTCATATCTCCCTTTGAGGTTCTGTAAGACCCAAATTGGCCCCCCGCAACTCCTGGCTGGGACTTGGGTGAGAGCCTTCCCCATCTGCCTGCACACAGCCTGCAAAGCTTAGCTCAGTACTGCAATGCTAATCATCCAAGCAGTCAGCAAATGGCTGTGGAACATTTGCTACATGCCAGGCACTGTCCCAAGCCCTCAGGACATAGTGCTGAGCAAGGTTTCCCTGCAGTGGGAAGTTCACAGGACAGATGCAAAGGAAGACAGTAAAGAATGAAAACGATTCCAGGAAGTGGCCGGTGCTGTGGAAGAAATACAAGGGGAGGTGTGATGGACAACGGACTGGACCGGGCAGGGGATTGGACAAAGCTCCATGTCTGGAGAGACTTGAGTGTACAGCCAGCTGTGGGAAGATGACACTGAAGACACATGTCTCCACACCATGTGTCCCTGGGCTGGAGGTGTTGGGGAAGAGGACAGGATCAGGACAGGGCTCGGAGAGGAGCAGCCCTGGACAGGATGTGGGGGCAGGGGGGCAGGTACACTCTCCCCTGCCTGAGGAGGGCCAGGCTCCCTCCTGGCCTGCTCAGGTGACAGGTATTCTCCAAAGTGGTGCAGGGGTCCTGGCCTGGGAAGTTGGTGAGACAGGGCCACAGAGGGCGCCCTGCTCTGCTCAGACCCTGCCCTCCAACACAGGTTGGAGACCTAGCGTTGGCTGTGTCCTTGAACGCGTTACCTGTGTCATTGACGAAGAGAACTGAAGAGCTTTACACAGAGTTGTGAGAAGCAAGATAATATACATTTGTTCAGAACTTAGTAATTTCTCAAGAACTTTGAGGGCACATCTGTAAGTAAAAGGTATTAGTCTTTCAGAAACCTTTCTAGATGGCAAGCGTTTTCTCTGACATTTATAAGCAAAGTACTAAGAAGTAATCAGTAGGGGCTGGAGAGATGGCTCAGTGGTCTAAAGCACCTACTTGAAACAAGCTTGTCAAAGCACAGGGACCGCGGTTCGATCCCCCAGCACCACATGCCAGCCAGCCCCGCCCCCTGGTGGGCTGAGCTGGCCACACACACACACAATAAATAAACGTAATAAATAAATAATTTTAAAAAAAGAAGTAATCAGTAATGAGTAATCAAGGAACAGGGCTGTAGCTCGGGGTGGAGCACGTGCCTAGAACACACAAGGCCCCAAGTTCTGTTCCCAGCACTGGAAAAGGAGCCCAGCAGATAGCCATGTGCACAGGGCTCTGTTCTCTGGATGGCCTAACTGCTCCTTCGTGTCTGTGTGAAGAGTTCCCGCTGGTAACAGGAGCCCAGTCCTGTCCGCATTCCTTCCTGCAAGCCCATTTCCAGGGTGAGGCTGCAGAGACTAAGGGAGCCTCGGCGCAGTGGCCCTGGGACTGCACTCACTGCTCTGCTCAGACCCTGCCCTCTCGACCGCACCCTGAGCAGCTGCCCACCTCCAGCAGCCTGAAATGCAATATGGAGCTTGGGATGGGCTTTTTCAGGTTTCACAGTCAGTGTTTGCCAGTTTCCTAGGCTCAGACAATGAACTGCTCTGACTCGAGGTGAGCCATGGACTTGTCTGTCAGGCAGGGTGGTGGGGTGGAGTGGGCTGGAGGGTTGGAGGCTTCCTTCCCCAGGGTGCTGTGCCAGTGAGGTGGTCCACAGAAAGACTGTGCAAGGCTGAGTGTGTGAGGAGTGCGAGTGGGCGTGATCGGTATTGCCACCGTCAGGTTTGGAAACATTTGTGGGATTGTACAGGGGCCACTAAGAAATGCCATCATGTATTTTACCATTTCCAGAATGAAAATCTGGACCAAGACTGGTGTGTGATGTCTGGAGTTTAAGCCCGGGGGAGGGTCTCCCCTGAGAGCTTGGCACTGGGGTTGGTGCTGCTCTGCAGGCATCAGCCGCTGTGTGTGTGGCGGGCGGTGCGGAGCAGCAAGACTGTCTGCTGTGAGTGCCAGCTCTGAGTGCTGGCGGGCCAGCAGGTGCGAGCTGGACCCCAGACTCTGGCAAGCAGGACTGCTGCCGGCACCCACTGCTGGTCCTGCAGCAAGACTGAGGCAAGAGAGTGCAGTCCACCCCAGCTCACAGGAACCAGGGCGGGCCTGGCTGGCAGGAAAGGTGTTGGGACTGGGCCTGGACGTGGCCTCGCCCGAGCGCAGGCTGTCCCACTAGCTGCTGACACACAGTGGCTGCTCCGAGCAGGGTGGATGTGGGCATCTCGAGGGCATAGCCATGGCCTGGGACAGGGATGGTGTGGCTGACTGGGTGCCTCCTCTGATCCTAGAGCTCTTGTGAGTAAACCAGTGCCCAGGCAGGCGAGTATGAAGGGAGGAGCAAGGGGATCTAGAGGGGGCAAGCAGCAGCCCCAGCATGGGTAGAGGAGGAGCCGAGCAAGCCAAGGGGCAGGAGCGTTAGGATTCAGAGCTCGGGAACACCACTGCTGCCTCAGCCCTAGCTCCCCTCTCCTGGCTCCGAAATGGCGCGGCCCGTGACGTGCTGTGCCGTTGCCTGAAGCTGGGGAAGCCGCAGTCTATTTCTGGCTCTCCCCACTGAGAAAGCCCAAGTGTAGCAGCTAATTACAGCACCATGTGGGGTGGGAGGGAAGCAAAAAGGGAGCGCCTGTGGCGGCAGAGAAGTGTCTGCCAGGCCCTGTGCACAGAGAGACGGGCAGGGGGCGGGGCTGCGGTCCAGGGAGGCAGTGGACAGCCCAGGACCAGCAGGAGCCACAGCGTGGAATGTCCTACAGTGCCCCCAGCCATCACCACGTTCTGGGGTGGCTGGAGGTACTGGCAGCTTGGGGACAGGGGCCATTGGTACCAGGGAGCCAGTTAATTCAGGGCTTTCCAGGCCACCTGCTGCTCACGTGGCAGGTCTGCAGCAGTCACCCACACAACTGACCTACCCTGCAAATCCACTGGATGGGCCACCATGGGCAGGGCAGGAGACAGCAGGGAAGGGGCACTGGCACACGGTCTGGAGGTACAGCTGGTGAGCTCGCTGGCAGATGGCAGGGTGTGCCCAGTGGCTTTGGAGGTAACAGGTGGCTGTGCCAACTTACTCTCAGGCTAGACAGCTGGCACTTTTATTCCCTCGGCTCCACACAGAGGGTCACAGTGCTTACACTCTGAACTCAGGGCTCAACTCTGTCCCTGGCCAGTAGGTTGGCAGGGACCATGGGCCCAGCCCACCTGAGCCCCCCAGGTCCTAAGGGAACTTGTGTCCCCTGCATGAGGGTGTGACAGTGGGCAGGAAGGTTGGCGTAGAATCGTGTTCTGTAGTTACCTCGCTCCCGTCTCCCTGGTGTGCAGAGCCTGGGGTGCCTCCATTCTCAGCCGACAGAGGCATAGTGGCCTCCAGCCTGGATCCCAGTGGGCTTCCTCGCTATTCCCTCCCCCCCCACACACTCGCCTTCCTCCCCGACACCTCGGCTTCCAGTGGACACAGCCTCCTCCACCAGAGGCAAGCGCAGACTTCCTCATTAGAGCAGCAGACCTCACCCACCAGACCCCACCCCATCCGAGCTGCCTCTGTGCCAGCTGGGTGCCAACGAGAAAAAGAATAGAGCCACGGAGGCCTTCTGCCCACACGCCAGGCCAGACACCTGCCTGACACCATGGAGCCACCAGCCTTCAGATGATTCAGAGAGCAGTGTCCAGGAGGTGGGCACACAGAGAGGAGCTCCTGCCTTCTGGGGGTGGGCAAGGAGCAGGTTGCAAAGGTCCTGTGAAAATTGGCACAAGAGAAAGCAGATAGGGAGGTATACAGGGCGGGATGGGCTTTGTTGTAAGTCCCGTGGGTATCTTTATTAATACATATTGTAAACAATAAAAACACTTTGCAATAAACAGGCTTCAGCTGGGTGTGGCAGCAAACACCTCTAATAGCAGTGCTTAGGAGGCTG